ATTCCGTGCATCCGATATTTCATTGTGATGGTTTGTTGTATCACTTCGAAACTATGACTAATCGGATTTCTTCCATTGGGTGGTTACATCAAAACAAATACTAGCTACGAAGGTCGAAACCTCCATCAACAAGCGAGCATACCTGGCCGCGTGAATAGGAAGATCCACGCGATCAGAATTTGCGTTATATCCGTGAAAACTCCGCAACTCTTGGTGCTCTAAGCAGCAGTGTAGAATATACTGCATAACTATTTACAGATAGACATAATGTACATTGGAATTATAATATGAGAATTATTTAAGACAATGTGTAACGCAACATTATGATCCATTCGGCAAAGGTGAAAGTAAGCTGTCGGAAACGACAAGACGGGTTTCTCTCTGAACCAAAGTCAACGTTGAATGGAGAGCGATCATCCTTTCATTGAGCAACTTTATTTCACTCGCTGTCCCGTCTCCGAAACCAGAAAATTTTCACCATGAAAGAACACTTGGGAAGAAAAAAACAAAACAAAACTATGGGGCTTTGCTCCACACTACTAACAAATTCTCACTTTCGTCTGAGTTATTCACGTTGTTGAACTTTAGTTTTGCGGACATTGCATCGTGAAACTGTCAAGACAAGCTTACGAGAACGCACGAGTGTAATCAGAAACAGACAATCGATGGGGGACCACTTAACTAGTCCGTGCATACGAACTTGGAATCAAAGAAAACTCCGAAAACCCACTGGGACTGTTCCGATGCCATTTGTATTTGCAGTTAGTAGTTTGTGGACAACAACTCAGGGTGACTAGTGGTGGGTGAGTGAATGGAGGGTTTTGGTCGTTGTCCTTCTACGTAGTAGGATGTACTGGTATCCACAATTCGGCCCCCAAAGAGGTGCACACTCCAGATTTTGTTTGTCCGTCAAGCCAACTTGGTTGTGTGAGTGGGCCGCTTTTCTAGGCTATACTGACGGACAGTGCACCTCATCTGTTGTCCATAGTGTATGCTTTCAAAAATGGATTTCGGGATAATAGGCTAGCACTTGGATGGATTTGTGAGCCCAGTGGTCTCACGTAAGGTTGTCTCAGTTAATACAGAGTGCACCCTCCACGCTGCAACTGTAATCCATTTTATGCGAGGGGTTGGGTGCATTCAGCTAGCGTGGCACTGGTTAACTAGTTTGTGAGTAGCGTACGGCCTTTGCAACTTACTTCGTTCGGGAGTTTACAGGCACCCACAGGTTTGAGTTCAACGGTCAGGTAGTTGCTTGACAGTTGACGGTGAGGCAGTCATACCCATGGGTTTAAGCTCACCTCATTTGAGTTGTAGTCAATGAGCCCAGACTCACCGCTGTCCCAAATGAAGGGGTTGGGTTGTAGACAGATTGCTAATGCTTCCGGGCAGAACCTTTCTGTGCGTATTATTGATCCAGTCTGAATAAACCCAGCCTCGTAGAACGAAATATTTGGTCATATGCAAAGTCACAAATTTTGATGGTTGCTTGTTTGTTCATTTGACTGGACATACAAACCTTCCATCAGACCGTTATTCGTTCAGGTGAGCACTCTTATCAACTTCTTGGTTAACATGCCTGCTGGTGAATGTTGAGGTTTCCTTGAGACGTGACGGGTCCGGTGCCCCCACTGTAACCTTTGATCGATAGAAAAAGCAACAGGATGACATGCAACGACTGGTCTACTGGACATACCAAAAGAAAAAGTTCTCTACTGGCAGGGGAACTAAACGCAGCTATCAAATACAGGGCACACAATCTCTCATTTCTACATATGAAGACCACAAAGGACAGGATTTCAATCTAAAATAGATGACGATACTGGCACACGGAAGTGAGGAATACGAAAGAGAATTCCAAAGCACCTGGTACTCCATGAGGGGTTCAATTATCCGACCTTGTCTATGAAGGGCTACCATCAAGGGGTCGATAACTCAATGATAATACTGAGTCAGATCCGGCTATCGAACCAACGGACCAAGAGATGAAAATCACAAATCTGTCCACCTTTCCGCACTACAATGTCCTTATTATCATTAAACTAAGGTTTCGCTTCTTGCAAACGAAAAGATTAGTGCTCGTATTAAGCACATTAATAAATAAATAAATAAATAAATAATAGTAATTATTACAACAATTATTGCTTTAATATTCCTACTCTTCTTGTCGGGAACCCGATCCTGTGATAAGAACAAAGCTTAAAGCAGAATCTTGGATAATGTTCTTCTTCCAGATAGAACTCCAGTACCTATAGGTGATTAGATGTTCATTTTACATGCTATGTTCACTTTCAAAATAAAATCTCTTGAAACTGATGAATATGCAGCAAAAGGAAGAGGAATGCGCACAGTTGATTGAGCTGCACCAATTCTTCCAAGCAATCATTTTAATTGTTTGAAAATTATATTCGAATACTTGTAACGTTGGTAAATCGACTGTTTCCGATCGATCGACTCAATACGTTGGCTGTAAACATTCTGTGATCCACACTGGCTATGAGGTATGCGTCCGCATAAACTGACAATTGATGAGGCAGTAAATTGCGAGTGAATAGATTGCGTGCTTACAACACACAATCAAAACTAGGATGTCACTTTATGACTCTTTGAAGCACGAACAGCACATCCGTTTTTATATGCTCAAAGGACACTTTTCCCCTGTCACTGTATTATTCGGTCCTAATTGTTTGGAGCTTCACTTCTGGAACCTGAACAAACCCATCTCACTTAAGACTCAGCTACCTTGATACATCTTTTCAAACACTGAATTAAGTAAATTACACGATCTACCAGATAGGTATTAGGCTGAGTACGTGAGTTGTGAACCTACAATTACCCTGGTAAATTGACAAAGAACGACCCACATTATATGAACAAAAATGCATGTGTGTCAACCACCATTCAAGGGGTAATAATAATCGTTCAGCTGTAGCACACCCTCGGTGTCTATCTGTGGGGCCACTCGAAGGAAGCACGACGGCTGGGATACTTCCAGGTTGCTCAAGCCTAGAGAGGGTAAGTTGAGAGGCAGGGGTTCACTAATTCGAACGGCTACTTGATTCGCCTGCTTCTTTGATGGCCCCTATTTATCTTATCATGCTAGACAACATGTACTTTTAGAATACAGCGCTTCAACCATACAGCAACACGAAAACCTAATGTTCCAGTGTTTTCTTCCAGCCGGGTCACTGTACTTTAGATGGCCATGTCGCAGGTAGATACTGACATGGTGTAAAGTAGGGCACTGTCAGAAACACCATTCAGCCTGGTGTCCGTACTACTCGGCTCATTGTGCAAGTGTACGAATTCGCGCTACCGGGCGCTAAGTGCTTATACTTGGCACTCATCGTATAATCTCAGTAGATAGCACGCATATTCCAGTAAACAAGTACTCGGAAAGACAATATGGAGGTACGAATCCTTGATAACTAAAATTGTGTGACGACAGTTTTTTTCAGTCTGTGAACCCCAATTCCATCTACTCGACCCACCAGTAAATTGAGCCAAATTATCCAGATATCACACCTTAATTCCCAGAACGGTGTACACGCTTTTCATGGTTGACAATACAAATTACTACACAGCCCCACAAATTATTCGTCCCATCACCGAAAAACTTAAATGAAAAGCACAGTAATGTGGTGGAAAAAGAAACGGTTTGAATGTGCTTCGAAATTTGGCGAAACAGACTCACAGTAGTTCTTCAGTGAAGTAGCTATGAAAAGTGATCAATCAAGAATGTTATGGAATTCCCGTTTGACAGTTCCCCCATACTCCCATGGGGAATAAACTGCTTTTTTCGAATGGGATGGTTTACATCAAGTGACACCTCACCAATTAAACGACTGATGACACCTTCGGTAGCACNGACTGTTTCAGCAGGACACATGTGTGTAATTTGCCAAGTCAAAAGACAAAATAACCAAAGGCCATATAACAGGAACAAGAAATTCTCCTTTGGATGTGAAGTGGGGTTTAGAAACCGACCTATCAAGCCACTGTGAATGACCAAAGAACTGACAGCTTCCGGTGAACAACGCCGTTCGCGTATACAAGAGGGCTGCTTTGTACCATTTGCGATCAACAGGCTATGGATTCTCAACTTACTAACTATTAGGAGAACCAGTTCCGAAGGTAACGGGACTTCATAACTGTTAATGAAATAACTTTTTGTTGAGACAGTTTTCATTGGTTATTCTTCACTCGCCCTTGACAGATGAGTCATATTCTTAGTACCAACTTCTTACCGTTTGTGCGCGACAGTGATCAATAGATCAGCTGGCTCCAACGTTCATTGACTTTTCTGGTTTGGCCAAGCGCACCAGGCGATTAAGCGGCTATCCTGACCGGGGTTCACGGTAATAAGAAGGCACAACAACACAACACTAACAATGATCAACTTTAAGACGAAACTGGTTCTTTACTTTTACAATACCCTTTAATGGACGGTTTTCCATCTTCCATCAACGGCTTCATTTCAACATTCCATGTGATCTCCATGGTGCCTGCTTTCTTCTAGATCGTCATTTCCCTCATTGAATGGAATTGTGTACTACGTTTTACAAAATGACAGAACTTGAATACTCTCATTAGAGTAAAAACACTAACTTGTGAATTAATCAAGCCAAAACTCCATGTTATGCAAAATGACAAAAACACGTTGTTTTTAGAAAGCTACTCATAGGGTGCTGAAAGCTCTTTGACAGTCCACAGACAGTTTCGCTTTGCTCGAGAGTTGTGGGATAGGCGCAGTCTCCGGTGCTTCTTCATTCTCATAGTTGTGAGATGTTCTGCTGGAGTTCAGCTGAATCTACCTTTGAAGTCAAACTGGTGTGCAAATGAGTCAATTATCTACACTTATGTTTGCTAGATGTGGTTACCATTCTTTGATGATTTTTTCTTTTTTCATTTTCTTAAAGTATTGAATGGTGAAAAATAGCTACACATAAATTAATTCATGATTTGATTCCCCCCGTCGAATAGGTCCAGCGAAGATAGTCCAACCTCCGATAGACACAAAAGCGATTTCCGGGGAGTCAGTGCTATTCTTCTGCCGAGCCGAGGGGAACCCAACACCAAGAATATTGTTTCGGTGGAATGACCAAGAGTTGGTGCACAGTCGACCTGGTCTACAGTTAAAAATGATCTCGCCTGATAGTCTTTCTCTGCGGGCCAAACTGGAAATGGAACATAATGGGGATACGGTCACGTGTTTTGCACAGAATCAGGTTGGGTCGGATGGGGTCAGTGCACAAATCACCGTGTACAGTGCCAATGAAAGTGAGTATGGATCCTTACAAAAGTATACGCTTTGTTTTGACTATCGCACTCAAGGGAGTTCAAGTATATTGATCAGTAGAAATAGTTAGCTCGGAAGACTGAATAAAACTGAGTAAAAGCTTTTTCAAATTATTCATCTTTTGTTCCACTTTTATCATACGAAACTACTGGGTTAAAACGGGAACCCAGAAATGAACCTGATCGTATATCAACATTCTTCGCAAACGGACCAAGCCTCAAAATATTAATGTGGCTTGTTGGCGTTACGTCGTGTTGCCTTGTCAAGCAAGAAACACACGCTACTCACTGGGTTGCTTAAAACTGTTAGACAGCCAATTATCATGTTAGCCCTTCTTGGCGTTCCTCAGGTAGGCGCAATCCTCGAGTTTCCGTCAACCTTATGTTCTACCTACAATCCAATATCATGTTAGCCCTTCTTGGCGTTCCTCAGGTAGGCGCAATCCTCGAGTTTCCGTCAACCTTATGTTCTACCTCAACACAATCCAATAGTTTAAGTTTAATTTCAGCGCATCCGCATCATTCTCAAATCTGTTAGCTACGATATTCTTCCTCTGCCTTCGCTGATGTGGAATTAACCAAGTGCCAAGTTACGGTTCCTGCTTACCAGACTGCCTGGCCGTGGAACGTTCGCAGATGTTCCTATAATTACTTGGTCATCAGACAGCCTTCGATTCGATCATTCCCCCAAAGTTCACCGGTCTCCTTTGGGCCACATTTTATTCCGAATTTTCAACCCGGACAACATAACACTGAATAATTTTTGTCATTAAACTAACCAAAACCCCCAGTCTCTGCTTCCAACTCCTCGAGTGTCTGCAAAAGTTCTGTTCTGCTGTTGACCTAGATGTAACAGCTGTAAGCTAAGGTACGACACACTGTAATCCGTGATAATTACTGATGTGTCTCAAGGGAACATTTATTTCCATGATGATTTTGAATGCAAAATTGTCCCTAAAAACGAATTTCGGGCCTCGGCATTTGCACGCCGTCGAATTATACCATTGCAGGACATAAAACTTTGAAAAAACCTGCAGTTATCACATCTCCCACGCCTTTTTGTCAGAAAGATTACAGGCGTACCATTCACCTTTGTTTGTCAACTTTTTGGCGTCACAGTTATTTTCACAATCATTTGGTTTTTTTCTCCTGGCAACAGCGTGATCAAAGTCGGGTTGTCCATTCACATCAACAAACTCTGCAAACATGGTGAGGAAATTATAATCATAAAAGGGATGTTAATTGGCTTATACAATCAGATCGATTGAGCAGTAGCCGAATTCAGACAGTGCCAAAGCGCTGCTCGTACAGATACGTTTGTCCCTCCATCCCAGTTCGAACGAGCTGAGTTGGTAGCAACGGAAAAGTGATTAAAAGCATTTGTGTGTTGTTTGATACAAATTCGTGTGTGCATATCGAGGGGCAGCTTTATCTTCATGCGCCGAAATATAATGAAAAGGCAGCAATAGACTTCTCTATTTCGGATGATCAGATATCCGTGTTTCTGTGTTATATATGATCGGCAAGCGACGAATTCGGCAAAGTAAGTTAAAATGCCAAATCTGAAGGGTGAATGTATATTTACATCACTTGCTGTTTTCTCGATGCCACGATTTTCGTTAGGGCCTACCAAAGTGGCATTTATCGGACTGTAGCTTCGCCCTTATCACAGTTCTTCCGAAGTGTTTACTCTCTTCCTTACCGGGTTTCATCGCTCGACGTCCGACAAAAGAGGCGGTCATTTTACCACAGCATAATCGGCATTATACTGAATCCGTATTCTCCGTTTTCATTTTGAACGGCGTGATTGTTTTACCCAATGTGTCCAACGAATGGCTGGTCGATTGATTAACAAAAAATAGTTTTTGGGTCGGTGTTCGAAATGTCATGCAGACCACTCATATTGCTCAACTTTCGTACTTTTGATTGTCTGGCCTACGGTGTGGGAGTATTAGTGACATACTTTGTCTGTGTGAAATAAAATTACAGTTCATGTCTCTGTATGAAGGAGGAAACAAACCACGGATTAGCTCCAATTATGGTGTCCAGGGCTTCCTGTTTCGACGTACAGAAACCAGAGTAATCCTGCTAGCACAGGACGACCGTCAAAAAAGACTGAACTGTAGGCATGAACTCCACAAATCCCAAAAAGCCCACAAATTATCGGACCTGAAACTATTGCGAAGCTTTTCGCTCCTGTAAAGTAATTGTAAACTGACCACCAATGGTGCAGCATATGAAAGAATAACATGTTCGTGTGAGAATTAATGATTCTTTTCTCAAAGGTAATGTTAATTCGGATCATCACATACCGTTACCATCCCTGGTTTCACAATGTCCAACTCGTGAAATGTACAGACCAGTACACGACCAATCATAAGCCGCATACCCAGGAGAATATACGCCTGCTATTAGCCCTCAAATTCAAGAGCTTCATGCTATTACTGTGATTCGGAATAGACAGTATAAATTCACAAGACCGTCATTTATTTAGTAGAAAGCCAATGTGTCCACACGCTGATCTGCTGTGATTCTGCCCTTTTTAATTTTTTGGCTCACAGTTAGAATACTCTTTGGGCTGTAAATTAGCTGCAATGGAAAACCTCTCAAGATGTAGCTGAGTGACCAGCCCGGCTATTTCAAATTTTTCTGGAAACGATGGTTGACAATATGGGATTCCTGCAACCCATCAAGAACTCCAGATTCAGATATCCATTGTCAAAATTTGCTGATATACAACTCGTGTGGGCAGCTTCGTGGAGCGAGAGGGGCGACCAAATCCGACTAGATGCCTATAAACAACACTACATTTATATGACATAATTCGCTTTAATCGTTGAAAACACCTTTCTTAGTAAAGATGTTATGTGGATTCTGCTATAACCATTCTACTCGCAAAGTTAGATCAACCACTGCCGAGTAGTGACCTCAACCAAACAGAGAGACCGGCCGCAGACGTAGCATCTAGTCCCATTTCAGTTGACATATTCATGTCACTCCGTGTTAATGTTCCAGCCATTGAATCTGTATGTGAAATACCTTAACAATGCACTACATTTTCCGTTAAAGCTCAAGCTCGTCCGTGAATGGCTAAACTTTCAAAAATCGCTTTTTTCAATCAGTGTTTCAGTCACTGACAGGTGACAACTGTATAATACACTTAAAAGGATATTCGTGCTCCAGAACCAACCATAATTGCCTCAATCTCATCTTGTTATCGCTCTCACACAACCACCGTCCAACTCGATCAATGTTCCTCTGCTTCGTACATCCACACTTGTCGGTAATGCTTGATAATAGACTAGAGCAGTCCCATCTATACTCATAGGATAGGAGCAGTGCTTCCTCTCTTTCCGCTCGCAGCAACCATTCATTTACACACAAACACGCACCTACCCCGAGGCACCTTACTTTCGTTGAGCTGATTTAATCACTCCATCTACCTATCCACAACTACGCACACGCGCATGAACTCATACAGGATAACCTGGAATCCTGAAATAAACCATCACCAATACGCGATAACAATGAAGACAAGGGAGGAAACATTGCACCGGGACAGTCATGTTTTCATGACTTGACATTCCAAAAAAACAAGAGTGAGGGAGTAGCATATACTGCATACATTGTGTAAAAAGAACACTATTTTGCGAGCTTATCAACAAGATTGCATGGATGGTTTGATTTGCAAAGCATACCTCCCTGTTTGCCTAAGGCCGACCTAAAAGCCGTCTGGTAATTGTGTAGGTTTTGGTCAGCCCCTTTGGTTTGACAATAGATCACGCGATACCGGGTGTTGTTCGGCTCCCCACCATTACACGAGCACATCCACGGTCGAACAACAGGCTTCTTGTTCAATATTGCTCCTTGTCACGCAATAAAACGCATTTACTCAATTCTAAGGGAACGGGAATGGCACATTTTTGCCGTTCTGTTAATTTTGCGGGAGTTCAAGACCACCGAGGAAGCAGGATGACGAAAATTCGGCTCAGATTTCAGTGAAGTAGCAAAGTCCAGCTTGCCTCTAAAATTTTCTCCGTTTCTTGCAGACTGACAAAATACACCCAGAAACCCTGTCATTTGGAGGGAAAAGAGATTTAAAGAGTTCGGTAGCAGGCACGTTTTGATGTCTGATCACAATAATAGGAGCTGAGAACTAAGAACCCTTGAGCTGAACTCAGTCACAGGCATAGGGTTGATGTTGACTAATTAAACTCTTTCTAGAAAAAAGCGATGGCAGCAAATCATCAATGAACATAAAAATCATAGAACTTAAATAACTGGCTATCCTGATAAACGGAGCGACAAAAAAATGCAACGATACCCGTGTCCAGTCGAGAAGTCACACGTAATAGTTATACATTTCTTCTTGATACATCAGCGGAGGCTTCCCAACGAAACTCATTCAAATTCAGCATGATTCAATCTTTCTGCTCCTCGGCTAGCCGCAAGTGAAGCTGGAGGCGCAAGAGTTAGAATACACCTCTTGCTCCATGGGATACAAATGGCTGATTAGTGTCGGCGGGGAAGGGATAACAACATATGATCGATCCTTGACTTTCAGACTTAGGTTAGCGTCATCTTTCAGGGTAATTCCGGAACAAACCCAAACCACTCTCTAGCCACTTCCTGGATGATATCGCTCAAACTAACACCAGATCATTCACAAACAACTTCGCTTATCCCTAATAGTTCGAGTTTTGACGCATTCCCGTCCAACCTTTGTGTTATCCCTCATCGCGGAGCGAAACCGAAGTTTCACCGAAGTCTCTTTGCGGTACTGTCCATACGGTGAACCACTCGTTTGCTTGTATTTTGTGTACAATGGCATCTGATCCTTACCTACAGTGCTTAATCACAACCTTTGCAACCTGTCGATAACTTGCGTACTGAAACAGGCTGTGTTCGCAACACAGCCGGCAAATGTAAAGGCCGATGCATGTTACGAAATCCCCAAGTATCAGTACCTTCCTTTTATTCGTTGGGTGAGAATACGGTATTCTAAAGTCTCACCGAGATGGCTAGTTGGAAGAAGGCAGCGAACTGTCCTTAGGAAATTTGTGTCCAACTTTACTCCCTACATCATTGTGGATAGAGATTGTTTTATATATGAGTGATGCCTACTCAAATGGAATTAGAGTAGAATCTAGAGTGGTACAGCTACCTCCAATCACCGTCTAAAAGATCCTACCATTTTTAACGCTTCAGTTGGGCTTTCGACTTAAACATCAGATGAGAACACAAGAGGTCAACAAATGATATTCTACAACAACCACAAGATAACTTATTTCAGCGCTTATGCCATCGGATGACCCGTCTGAAAGTTTGTGGCTAGCTAAACAATGAAGGTTACGTGGAACTCACAGCGTTGTTAATCACAGTGAAATGTTTAGTCAGTCGGCCATTTACTAATTTCGCCGACTTGCTTTTATGCCGTCGCAGATGTGAGCTAGCAGTTACAATACATATCATCTTGATTCTGGGAACTCCGATCGCTGTGTCGTTGATATTATTCTTCAGCAGGAAAGTTGCCAGAATGTCTACTAACTTCTATCTCAGAAGCGCCATTCTGAATGGAGAAACAATATAAGACAACGGAAAAGCCCTGATCTGTAAGTAAACAAACTATGGGTTATGGGGAGTCTGGAACGGGCAGTAAAGTCATAAAAATACTGTAGCTGAGCGTGACCGCTTCCAGCTAGTTGGTGATTGCATAGAAACGAAGAAGCTTTTTCGTGTTAAGTCGGGTGTCGGTTTATGTTACTTGGTGTCGACAAAATAAGCACTGCAGCGAATCTCAGCTGTAGTTTTCCATCACAACTATAAAAGCAGAAGTCATAAGTATGAGTCAGATATCGGTGCAAAATCACAAACACAAGGCCCCCCACCCCCCCCCCCCCCGAAAAAAAATTACGATTTTCGAGCCACAATGGGTTACCATTTGGAGGAAGCAGCCAGAAGGCTACGTAAATGGTGTCAGTTTCTAAGGTAGCAGTGAGAAAGAAAAGCATGCACGCAGCGAAATTTCAGCGTAAAACTGGGAAGTCAGCCTGGAGTCAAAAACTTGAGTTACTCGTGTGCTTTCGTCATTTGTGATCCTCTGGTGCACCTCCGAACTTTCAGTTTAACCTTTTTATAAATTTCGTTTTGTTCAGTTGCTTCGAAACTTTCAGTCTTACATTTAAAAGTTAGAACGGTCATCTAGCGCAATCACGGTGTCTCTGTGACATTGTCGACCAGGATTCATAGGATATCAGCCTTTTGCATTTCGTTTGGGCTCAACATTGATTAAACAATACGTCTTCAACAGTTTAACCAAAATAAATAACATTTGAAATGAATTTATTTTACATATCATTCAAAAATGTCACAAGCCTCCATACCACCTACTCAACCGAGCGCTTACCTGGTGATAAATTAATTTTCCCTCCTACGGACGTTTTTGACGGGCCAGTGTAAACGAAACCACACCCAGTGCTTGACGTGTGTGTTACAATAATAGGTTTTAGCATTCACTCTTTTATTTCAATCATTTCGGAGATCATGTCAGGCTGAGAAGGATATCCGCCGTAGTTCGCGCACCCAAGTTGGAATGCAGGATTCACTCATCCTTTGTGCTCGATTCTCACCTGTGTACGTGTGCGTGTGCATGCATGCGTGTGTCTTCTGTAGCCGTTCCCTTCCCAGTTAGATCAGAACGGATCGCGAAAGGCCGGTGTTTTCTTGATTGACAGGTGCTTGGCAGGTCTTAGTTCGGAAACGCTTTAATGTCATTCCCCTGCATCGCCTGTGTAGTAAGCCCAGCCAGAAGCGTCTACATGTGTGCGTTTGCGCATGCCTGTGTGCTTTTGTGTGTGCGTGCGCATACGGGAGATTCAGAGAAGCGTGGTGAGACAGGAAGTTGGCTGACCTTATCTGAGCGCAGAATCTTACATTTTAGCGTATCAGTTTACCATACATCCGTATACTGGCGTTCTATTATTCTGTTACCTGCCAGTAAAGTCTACGCGAGCCGATCCAGCGCGTTGAGATGTGTTTTAACCCGACCTGACTGGATGGTGGAGTGACCATTAAAATGAGGTGAACTAGTGGGAGTCAGAAAACATGCGATACTACACGGAACTACATCAAATCATAGACAGCTCGCTAGTTGGGAGTAACAGACTTTAGAACACGACAAAGGCATGCGGATTTGGACTTCGCATCGCATTTGTACACATTGGTGTGCACCGTAGTTTGATCAGCAATGTTAATCTATATGACTGACCTGGGAGTTTTATTCAAAGGCTAGCACACCGCGGAATAATTTCACACTGAAAGTGTGAAGTTGCAGTCCAAACCCATACCCACGTTAAAGAGATGAAAATAGTCAGATGACGGTTCAGACCGGTTGGTTTATCCAAAATCTGATGATTAAACTGGGTAGTTATACCCAACTGCCGTGACTGCAACAGTGTACATACGTGATAAAATTGGGGGAGGATGTGTTATCGGGTCGGACCTTAAGGATGATGCTGGTAAATAACGAATGTCAACGTTCGTTGTTGCATCTGTCTTTCCCTTCCAGGTCTATTCTGATGTGTTAGGCTTCTATGCGGTATCCGGTGAGACAGAGAACGATGTGCGTGTGTTCAGCGGTCCGGCCACAATTGACCGTTAGATCAGATTCTGATGCCCATCACAAAATAACTATATATAAAATACCGCAGATCCAGTAATATGGAAATGCCCATTTTTTGCTGCTGTCTTAAACCTATAAAAACGCAGGCTCCATGCTGAAATAATTAAACCAATCTAGGCGTTTTGTTTCACATACTGAGTAAAAATAATGCATAAAATAAACATTTTATGCCATTTTGTGGATCCTGTCAAAATAACTTTCCTACGTGCGATCAGTGTTCCTGTAGTAAAGTAAAACTAAAACAAACAAATCATCGCTGCAACTTTCGTTCGTTACACTGTGTACTAGAAACCATGAGAATTTACTTGATTTCATGTTCAAGTTTGAGAACGTTTTTTGGAAGAAAAGAAGGATCGGTCAAATCAATGTTACTTTCTGTGCTACTGTTCTAATGTCACTCTTGCTCTAAGTGGTTGACGGCAAGTCAAGATCATGTGGGATTGTTCCGTCTTTTTTTAAAAGGTGATGAATGTGATGAGCACGGATGTTAAGCGCGTGGCTATCGGACCTGGTGTAAAGCCTTCCCGAGATAACGTTTTCATTTTGATCAACCAGTCCATTGCACCCCGAAATTTTTCGGAAAAGTGTCAGGGCGCCGTTTATGTTCCTTTGTTTGTTTACCTGTATGAATGCTTTTTTCTATGAATCTTGGCTGACGAGATTATGTTCTCCAAACAGAGATGGTGGGCACTACATTACTAACATCGCCAAATAACTAGCAAAGTTACCCCCTTGTTAATCAAATGAGCCATGCACTTGTCACTTAGTTCCGATTGCGTACGATCACCCCGAATTGTATTTGCCTATAATTTCTATGCTAATCATGTAGCTTCATCGATTTCAGCTCCCCCGCGAGGATTCCCCAAAGTTCATCAGGATCCCTCAGCAACCATCAGCCAAGTCGGTTCCTCCGCACAACTACAGTGCGATGTTTCGGCTGATCCAAGACCAACTGTTTCGTGGATAAAAGATCAATTCTACCCGGTTGACTTGTCAGCCAGTCGATTTCGACTAGTCAGTGAGTTGGTGTGATGGTTTTACGCTCCACCGCATGCATTTCTCGCACGAGTAACACGTATCCAACTATGCGTTATGAATTCGTTAGTACCAAGCCTCGGTATTCGTAATAAGGACGAGATAGTAGGCGTTCTAAGCCTATGTTTGTCGTTGAATTTTCGTTCACTCATTTGCAAATTACTGATAGGATTAAGACAAGCGTAGATAATTTCCTGACAATTGAGCACGATGCTCATCACTCGACAAACAGAGGAACGTTATTTAACTTTAGAATGCTTGAAAGTTTCATTGCATAATGAAATCTGAAATTACGCGGCAGCGTCTAGTTTGCCACGGAATTTCTGAACAGTTGTACGCTCTTATTCGACATGAGGTGAGTAAATACGGGCAGACCAAACGATTGGTTCAAACAGTTATTATTCCAGGCGACACAGGACCGTATATGAAAGTGCGGGGTCACATTAATCGGACGAGTATTGACGACGGTGATAAAGGTTCACTTCAATTCCAGTGAGTTGGGTTTTGCGCGATCCCCAGGTGATTATATGAACCAAGTTAACCTTGACCGCTCGGGGTACGTCACCATGATAGCACAAATCCTCTCGTGTTTCATCTCAATAATTTTAAAAAACCCAATGGTGCAACCTACGTTTCTTTGTTGTTCTGTTCTCATAACGTGGCAGAAACCACCAGTGGTATGGCGTTTCTCACGGAGTCAAAACATTCAACTTGATGGTTCAGCGGACTGAAGCCCAATAAGAGATCACATGACATGTACTTCCTAAATCTAATGATGCAGTTGCTTTTCAAATATTTGTAGTGAAAACTTTGCAATCAAGTCATTTACTTCCCTACAGAACAAGCTTAGCCAGAAATACGTCCCAAAAGTTGTGTCTTCAAAGTCTCTAATCAAGGAACTTGCCAAAATCACATCAGGTGAGGTGAGATGTTCGATACAAGGGCAGATATATCGAAAGTGAAAGTCAAATGTATTGCTGACCTGTTACATATTGCTCATATCCTATTGACATTACCAGCACTGAATTTTGTTGCCTTACAATCACAGTTCACATGGAGGTCCTGTTGTTAAAAATACAAAGCTGATAAGGGGACAAATGCAGACCTTAGTCTGACATGCTGTAATCAAGCCTCAGGCCCGAATTCCCGGACACTCATTCAGATCATGCGGGTAGAAACTGACAACAAGCACACCATTGAAAATGATTAACAGCCAATCACAGAGAGAAATACGCTAAACACATCGTGGAAGGCGGGTGGTACCGGTAGTACATAAACTCTTCCTAATCGCCCTCATCCTTATCTGCCGCATCAATAGTTGGCCACCCATCTGGTCGCATTTTTCTGAATTGGACACAAAAACCATTGCTTCAGGTAATCTTTGTTTGGGTAACGCGTTGCACAACCGAAGTTTATGGCACAGCCTACGGTTTTCAGGAGACGGCTCTTGAAGACTTGAACACATAGGCCAAGTTACACAGCTATAAAACAAAATAGCCGAGACTGTAGCCTGATACCCGTGGTCCTTGAAATTCTGGGATAGGCCGCTTTGTCAATTGATCCAATCTGTCACACTACGGTTGGAGTTTTTACGACCTAAAAGATGCGTAAAACACCTCACGAATTCAGTTTGTAAGTGACGTGTTCACACGCTGCATGTCTAGGAGCATGCTCTTACAACGTGATCGCGAAGCGCAAGCTCAAGGATAGAATGACTTTACTTAGTCCTTCCAAATACAACTGCGTCTTCTCGTCTTCGAAGATGAGGGCATTGTCGTTTACATATTCCAGATAGACGAGGTGTGGGTGGGCAGCTATTCGATCAGCAGGTTTTCGAAGATTTTTCATCGTTTACCTAGGCATCCCGTCGATCAAGAAATTGGCTAGGAATGGAAGGAGTGGACATATTTGTCGAAAACCACTTTCTGCAGAAAAACACTTGGAAGCCCCTCGTATGCCGTCATTCACTCGCAGGTGTGAGAATACGAATAACTTATTTTAATGGAAGCTTCCGGGACATTCCTCGCCGAGCAAGTGTGTAAAGGAAAACTAGTCTATTAACAGTGTCGGAAGTGTTTTGGAAAGCTAGGATTTCCAAAATTTCAGGTAGTTTGAACGTATACCGTTGTTCTAGAATCTAAGGAAGTGCAAGAATGTGGTCAACGAAGCCCTCACCTGGGCCGAATTCCAACTTGCTTGTCTCAGGTTAATAATTACTGATCAAACATAAGGCAAAGCGGGGACATTCACTTCAGAAATCTCACTACAACGGTAGTCAAGCTCATCCCTCTGTTATTACTGCACTCACCAGATGCCGATTGCCGACCCTCTAGTGTCTGGAACAGCGTTCTTTTTCCAAGCGAACGGCAACAGGCGATTGTTGAGAACTCCATCGATATCCTTGAGAAAGGCGGACAGGAAGTCGATAAAAGCCCTATAGGCAAACGAACTCGGTTTATCGCAGGAGATTCAACTGAAACCAGCTGAGTCTCATTTCCGATATTTTGCTTCAGCTAAATATGCCGCACAAGGCCGCCCGATGTCTCAGTTGGTGTGAAAGTTGAGAAATAACACTACATTGTCTTAGCCTAACGCACTACTCGTACGATTGCTGACGATCCGGCTAAGTGACCGAGGTGTCTCTCTTCTTGAAGGTTTTGCGCCGGCTAAATTCCTGGTAGTTTCGCTCGTATGCAGTATTTGGAGATTGGCCTCGTACACCGATCAAAATAATCTCCGGGCATTCCCAGTATTTTCCATCTCTTCTAATTTCTTATTTATTTGTATCCACCATGATCGGCACACAAACAAACTCCAAATTTCGCCAATTTCCGTAATTCTGCGGTTTGAAATATTTTCTTGGCCGACAAAAACATATGTCCAAAACTCAAGCAGTACCCCTTCTCTATTTGATATCCAGTGCCTAAGTGAAGCTGGCTGTATCGCACCACCGAAGCAACTACTGACAGCAAAAAGCGTAGCGGTGTTGTTTCAATGTGAATTAGTATCACCCGGAAAAGCACTTTACCCGGAATTCAGAGAATGTTTCTGATAAATTAGCTTAACTTCGAGATCTCCAACTTGGTCTGGGAATATGCGGTTTGCTGGCTCTTGCATTTCTCCGAAGAATACAGCTTGGAGCGACAGCGGACGATTGCACGGTCAGAATCCACAGATGTGATACGAATGTAGTGACGGTCTGCTGACGATCTAAGCCGTCTACAAGTAATGATAATTTGACAAATCTTGTTTCTTTTTGACTGACGTAGTTACAGGACGCCATTTGTCCATGGGATTTCGGTTGTTTCAGAGGCTGACATCGCAGGCACCCGCCATTGTCCGCACTTACCGCGCCCACTCTTGATCATTGACCCAGTTGAGAAGGGTGGCGTTAAATTCCGCTCTATCGGGATAATCAAGGTTCTGTAGAAACTGTGCTTGGCTTTGTTAGATGTGTCGTCTGCTGAGGTGTAAGTAGACCCGGATAAACAGTTAACGATCCACTTCTCTTTTATGAGATTTCTCCAAGGCAGTTGCCAAAGTTCCTGTACAGAAACATCTATCAATGGATCCCCTATCAAACAGTTGCCTTTCCTTTCATCGATTCATAACGACCGCACAGCCTTTGGAACTGGTACGCAGCAGGAAAGCAAATTGCTGTATAGTAATTAGCCTAAAGATAGTGCCTGAATCCAGAATTCTGGTTCCCAAGACGGCCATACATCAACTTCAAGCAGGCAAGATCATACTATGCTGTTACATTCGAAACATGAACAATAATGGGAGTCAGACAAACTGTGCGATTATGAATGCAGAGTAAGCTCGAGATGTCGGAGGCAATCAGCTTCGGTTGGTGCACAAATATCGGGGTCAAGACCGTCGCAAGATAAATGAGTCTATCAGTCTTAACGTTGGGTAGACGAGGAGAGCCAAACAGGTGGGGAAGAGGAAGAATTGTGCGGAAGAAAAATAATGGAGGACTTACCATTGGCTAGTTTTTGCCCACCAGCTCTGCTTAATGCAGCAAGTAAAGCGAATGGGTCAATGAAACCATACGATGGCCGATGCGGCTTGAAACTATTTTTGATGGTTTGGGGTACCGCCAGGGTGCGTAGACTTCGATTGATTAGGGTCACCTATGGAAGCCTTTCGTTCAAGACTCTGACCTCGAAACAGCTATATTTGATCAGGAATGTCAAGGAAGGTACCAAACTAATTCAAACCAGTGGTGACCTGCACAGTATTAAGCTTGGACTACGCAAAATGCCGCTAATAGCCTGAACGGAAAGATACTATTCAACATCACCGAATACTTTGGTCACAATCTGGCCGATCTCGTGATGGGCTGTTGACGACTTGGTATGAAACTCGTCAATTATAATGATGAAAAAGCTTCTTAACTTCTTCTCTAGGGTATCTGGCTTCAGAGGGTCATTTTGTCCCACTTTTTTCATATCTACTGCTGTTATCCTTCTTGTTTTGTTATAAGTAATTAAGTAATTGTCTGAATCCACAGTCCTTCCACTAAATTCAAGCAGGTTTGACGATTAAGTAAGCTCACCGATCCCTCAATCCCTTATACCGAATGCACTGAAGTGTCCGGATATATAATTTACCCTTGTCTCCGTACCTGCCTACAAAATCTCTGCAGTCCCTTTCAACTCCCCGCAACTGATAATCAGACCTTTTCAAACTCCTTGACTGCAAATTACCTCAGTGCCAAATTCGTCCCGAATATCTCCCGGAATAAGCGGGTTCTTTTTACCCCAGTGATACGAAGATGCTTCCAATACACGATCATAAGCACCGCGTATCGCAAAGCTACCGCTTCATACTTGACCCACCTGCTTTTTAACCGTAGTGATATCCGGTCTTCAAGTCGGACTTTTATGGTGCTATCATGTTTGGCTTTTAATTTGTCCGCCCAACTTGTGTTCTCAAAACAAGCGATTTTATTGTCGCGAAAACAATCACCGACTTTAGTTTATTTGTAATGCTATAAACAGCGCCAACCCAATGAAGCTAAGCTCAGAAGATGTTGACTGGTCTGAACAACTGTCTGCCAGTAACAAATTTAGCTAATCTGACCAGGCACTTTCAGAGGTCATTAGGGATGAAAAAACATTTTCTAAAATAGACTCGACCTAAAGTTCTAGTCAAGACGCTGATATTCGTTACAGATCCTTTTGTGGATCATTCCCAACGCATCCGCTGTGGGTCACTTGTACTAGAAGCAAAATTCAACAGTCACTGGCAAAAGAGCATAAAACTAGGAATCTTACGCAGTGTATGGTTTGTCATTTATTCCAAAGCGTCCACAGTGAGTTGCATGAAAAACCAAGGATGATTTTTTTATGTTGACAACAGATTACGATGTAAATCAAGGTAATCTTGAAGCAAATCATATATTCTAGATTTCCCTACAGAA